TTTAGTTTTGTTTTAATAAAACTATTGTACCCATGTCTTATTTGTTTTTACAGTTTATTGTGTAATAAAACGTTGTTTTTTAGTTGGTAACTTTTATGTACATTTTTTGTAAATTCTGGTCAGAAAAATTTTTGTCGTGTGGCAACCGTGGTCATGTCTATTATTTCTTTAATTTTCGGCGCTGAGCAACGCTTGTACCGCTAACCAAATTTAATTGTTAGGAATTTAGTAAATGCCATGATATTCTCATCATTCTTGAGTAAAAGCTTTAAATTTGCCAAGATACATAACTTAGGGTTTACACCGCACAATATTGTCAAGACAATTATGTCAAAATGTTGTGTTTGTCGTAAAAACGGCGAATTCATATTACAACAAACACATACACAGAACATTTTTGACCAACTGGCTAAATTGGCAAAAAAACCGGCTAAAAACGGCTAAACTGTTTTAACTAAATTTTACTAGTTACGAACTCAAGCTGGAAAAAAATTGTCAGCAAGAATTTGCAATTAGGAAAAACATATAATGTGGCACATGGCTGGATTTTTTGTCGACGATAATTTGAATAAACAAGTTCGTTAAATTTAAAAATTTACAAACTTGAGCGATTTTAAAATGAAAAATGTAGGTACATACTTGTTAATTAATTTAATTTAGTTAATTCCAATGATTTGAAAGGTACTCGGCTGAAAAGAACTGTAGTCGTAATCGCAATATAATCTTAACCAGAGATATAGGAAACCCAGCAGGTACTACGACAAAGAAATTGAAACTTATTTGAAGAAAGTCAGTCTAACAAAAAATATGCATGTAGATCCTGTCTTTTGCCCCTCTGACTGAATTTTAAAAATTCTATAAAAATTTCTTATGTTTGAAATTCAGCCGTGGACACTAGCTCGCCGGGAAACTTGCAAATTTTCGTTCGTGTAGAAATTTGCAAGTTTCTCTACTTGAGAGAGAATTTGGGAGAATTTTTTCGTACTATCTGATATTTCGAGTGATAATTCTCGCTGGATTTTCGACGAAAAAACCTATTGTCTTCCCAGAGAGTTTTGCCTTACATAGAAATTTGTGCTCTTTTATTTTAATTTGGACGCATTTCCGTGTCGGTTCTTTTAATTCAATTTGGCCTTCGGTTTTTGGAATTTAAATAAGTTCTCAGCAAAAAAAGTTTGTTTAAGAAATAAGAAAATAAGGCAAATAGCAAAATCGGCTAAAAACGGCTAATTTGGTTTTACAAAACGGCTAACAAATCGGCTGCCGGCTAAACCGAAATTTCTCCGGCTGTTTGCTACCGCAACCGGCTAAATCTAGCCAGAAAACGCCTAAAATGGCAACACTGATCCATATTCAATGTAATTAGTGCCGTAGTAAGGATTAAATTTTTTTTCTCTTAAGATTATGCATCTCTTACCGATACTATCGAATGGTGAGACCCAAAACTATCGAAAATATCGAATGATCCAACCATCGATAATTTGGCAGCTCTAACTGCTTATACAATATTTGAAAAAAAAAAAATATATACATTTTTGCACGATATGTACATCTGCAATTTTCAAGTCGTATTGGCAATAACCGTAAAAACCACAACCAATGTTCAAACTCGACGTAACCACCTCAGAGCAAACTAAGCAGCCGCCATTTAATTTGCCAAACAAAGTTTGTCTGCATAACACAACACTAAGCTGAAGCAAATGATTTCATTTTTTTTATTACCTCCCTTTTATTAGCTCGGGATGTAACTATGTAATATTGATGCGCCTAAAAGATGCAGCGATTTCTATTCTCAAGTTACATACCTGATGACAGTGCGAATGGAAATTATAATAGCGAGGTTTTAGTGTTTTAAACTATAGTTTTATTTATTCTTTTTCGCGTTTGCTGCTGTTGATTTATTTATGTTAGTCGTAGCTAAGCAATTGCAAATGCATTGAAAATGATCAAGAGCTGCTTGCTTTAAAAAGCAAAAAAGTGTTGCTTATGCTATTTTGCAGTCAGCAATTCAAACTCTGTTTCTACTAAACGACACTTGTCAGCTTGAACAGCATGAATCATAGTAAGAGATCGAGCTTGTTCTGACTTAAGAGCATTGAGTTCACAAAGAGTTTTAGATAACGTAGTTTGCAGATCAGACTTTTACATTCTC